GCCGTGGAAGTGGCTGAGGCTCCATCAGAGCACACGCAAGCCACGGGATGCCGGCGTTTCTGTACACGTGTCTGTCCTTTCTTTGTCCCTTCATGTTCCCTAACAGCACTTCCTGTCTGGAGACCCCACTTCTCGCTTCCATTTAGTTCTACTTATATGTGAACCAGCCTTCCCACACTCTCTGCCAGCCCTCTCCGGCAGTTGTAGGGAAATCATCTTATTTCTAAGGAAGGATTATAAACTTAATGAGAAAACCCAGATTAACAGAGGATTTTTCTCGGTGAAGCGGGACTTGGGGGCAGGGTGGGGAAGAGAAACTGTAGATTGAATCAAGGGTGTCAGCAAAAACTCCACCAGTGAGCTGTATCAGCAGATTTATTAAAACAACTTCATTATGAAACAAGGTCCTGCTGGTACCCTGCCCAGGTTGGCCTTGACCTTGTGATACTCCTGGGTTCACCTCTGAAGTAGCTCAGAACACAGATGTGCCCAACACAGGTGGCTGTAAATGTGTTTTGATGCCAACTCCAGGTCTTACAGCAACTACCTGTGTTCAGAAAGTCCCTGGGTCGAGGGTGCTCACCAGCCTCCGAGACATTAACACACAGTCTGGGCCTGGAACTTGACTAGGGTGGAGTACCTGTTGTGACATATGTATGGATTCCCACATAGACATAGGAGTTGAGAGAAATCAAGGGACTAAAGAGTTTTGCTGAATACTGGGCTGTGGTTTCTTTTGGGGCAGGGCAGGAAATATCCAGCGATATTTGTCTACCAGAATACCAAAAGCTATTCAAAGAACAGAGTGGAGCTGGAATAAAATGCTTCAGAAAAGTCCATAATCAGGGAAGAAACTGAAGACTCCATGCCAAAAGCCTACAGACCCTGGCTACCACAGGCCTCGCCGTTCCTACTCCTTCAAATCTGAACTGAGGCCAGACTCATTTTGACTCAGATTTCAGTGACTGTGCTCTGTAAAGGCCTGTGGCTGTACCTAGTGGCCACAGTGGGTCTGTGGAATTCACACAGGGAGAGGCAGGAGGTGTACCATCTCCCAAACAAACATGTTTCATCATGGCTGTGACTCCAGCCCTGGGATCCTGCTGGCCAGACCGTTGGACATATGAAGTTTGAGAGTGCGGGCTGAGTAACTGTTGGAGAAGGAAGCTGAGCAGCAGAGGAACAAGACCTCAGACATGTTGGAGGCCATGACCCTGGAAATCAATAAACCAGAGCTTTGCTGTAGTCTCTAAAGGGTGAAGGGATGAGTAGGGGGTTGGGGAGCAAAGGTCCTACCCAGATTCCTGTCTGGATCTTGTCTCTGTCTCAAGGAGACATCTCCTTTGTGCTCAAGGGCAAGATTCCTCAAAAGTATGGGAGACTTATAAAAAGTAAAAAAATACAAAAAGAAAAAACCAACTACTAGCTTCCTTTTTTCTTACCCACATGCCATCATGAATGAGCCTGGAGGTGGGATGCTGGCAAGTGGGCACAGTTTGTGGCCCAGCTGATGAGAGTTTCCTACAGAACTGAGCGGTGAGGAGGTGGCATCATTGGGGAACCTGGAACTCTTACAAACTTCCCTCCTGATTTAGAACTGAAAGCAGAAGTGGAGAGATTACATTAAAGATCCCGTTCATGCCGGGCGTTGGTGGCGCACGCCTTTAATCCCAGCACTTGGGAGGCAGAGGCAGGCGGATCTCTGTGAGTTCGAGGCCAGCCTGGTCTACAGAGCAAGTTCCAGGACAGCCTCCAAAGCCACAGAGAAACCCTGTCTCGAAAAACCAAAAAAAAAAAAAAAAAAAAAAAAGATCCCGTTCATTCCAGACAGACTTCAAAGTCCATGACAGTGTTCTGATGAGTTGAATCTGCTCTGGGTAACAAACTCACAGAGAACATACTAATTACTCATACCGTCCATACATGGCACCCACGTGGCACCCATGTGACACTCACGTGGCTGAAACTCTGATGTTACTCTCCTCACAAACTATACATCTACCTTTCTGATGGCTTCCATGGAATCCCCCAAGGTACTATGAAGTTAAGAATGGAGAACATTGTAAGTTCTAGTGGTTTGCTGGGAGACAGGTAATATGCCATGGGGCAGGGAACAGAGTAAAGGGAAGCATTGCAGGACCCCAGGATCATGTAGATTCTCCACCTCCTCATGTCTGACCCAGGTTTTTTCCTGAGATAGTATTCAGGATTCTGGGGAAATACAAGGAAGAGCAAACTATGTTTTTCAGTTGAGGAATTGTGTATATGTACATAGTAAGCTTTGGTGTGGCCAGTTCCTACTCTTCCATGGCATGGAAATGGCCTGGAGGAAACCAGGCCTGTTGTCTTCTGAAGGCTCCTGTGGATCTGAGTGGGCTTGAGAGGGGACACAGAAGTCTGTACTCTCAGGCCTGAAATACCAACGAGGTGAGGAGAGCTGGTCTTTGAAATGGGGGGCACCCCCAGCCTTGTATGTGACCCTACAGCCCTCAGTCAACATTCTTTTGTTTATGTGACCCTACAGCCCTCAGTCAACATTCTTTTGTTTATGTGACCCTACAGCCCTCAGTCAACATTCTTTTGTTTTAGTTTGAGTACAGGCAGCCACTGCCTTAGCCAGAGCCAGGAGGGAGACCTAGAGAGTGACTGGATCCAGTATAGGCCTGCTCCAGGTCAGTTCTGAATTATTCTTCTCTGGGGCCAGATACGTCAGTCTTACCGGTGCCCCCAAGAACTGGAATGCTTGCTGTCCCTCAGCCCGCTCAGCCTTGAGGAACACTGGTGTCTCCTGGGCATAACTTCCTTGATCACTCATCCAGGAGGCCGGCACAGACGGGAGGCTGCTTGCCAAGGCTGTACAGGATGTACCATGGCCTCGAGGAAAGGACGAAGCACGTAGGTTTGTTGTGGTCTGCCACTGCCCACCTCCGTTGCCCATGGGCCTTTCCTTCAGAGATGGGCTAAGGACCTGGTCCCCACCCCCACATCTTTGGTACTGAATGACCCAGCCCTGCTGTGTGAGGCCTAAAGTTAGGATTGAAGTTTAAATGGCTGTGCTTAAGAGATCTGTAAAGCCAAACGCCTCTAACCTGTAACCCCACTTGCCCAAGGGCAGATAACTTGCTGGAGTGCTGGGGGCTGTTGCTTCCACAAGATAACAAGCCATGCATTTTCACTCCTGTAAATGAGGTTGGTCACCCCAGCTGCACAGGATGTGCTTGGTCACATGTAGGCAGCAGGTATGTCAGGATGTCATTGTCCCCCACCATCAGATGAAGGCAGGGAGTAGGTAGCCTTGTGGGTTTTGCCTTTATAAGCAGCCAACTAACATCATTCACAGCCATTCTATGGGAATCCCAGGCATAGACCTGGTCAGTGTCTATACCAGTATTTAATAAAGCTTGTTTCAAATTTGGCTCAAAATTATGGTAGTGGTCGTATTCTTGCCCGGTGGGATTAACATTGCCCGGTGGGATTAACAGGTGGTGTGACATACTCTTTACCTGTACAGCTGGCCAGCATCGTAAATAGTGGAGCACCCCTCAATTTCTGTACGGACCCTCTAAACACGGAAGAGGTCAGCGCGTGACCAGTTTCATCCTGACTATCCAGGATGTAGAGCCAAAAAGGCAGCCAGCGTTGCTCGGTTCCTGCAGTTGATGCAATGCTGGGCGTGGCCGCTCAAGACTCACACCCAGGCTGCTTCCTTCCCTCGTCTGCTTTAGCAGCTTTCCTCCTAACTTTCTGTAAGCTCTCTACTCTGTTGCCTAGGACAGCTCTCTCGGCGACAAGTTCTGCCCCTGACGCTCTCCAAGTCTCAACCCTGCTCTCTCCACAAATCACCGCCCTGGGACTCTGCCCAAGCTCCTCCCACATTTTCCACGGGCCCGGTGTGGTCCATTCCCCAACTTCCCTATTGAAGCTGTGTCCTGCCTCCAGGCTTTTCACGCCATCTGCTCTTCTGTTTGTTCTTGGCCCATACCTTCCAATCATTTCGACGTCTGCCCTCCTTTCCTTCTGTAGATCCAATTAGCTACTGTGTCAAATGGCTTGATAGCCCCTTCCCGGCACCATCCCCCTCTAAGTTCATCAAGCCACCTAGAAAGCGCCGGTCTTTGGAATAGAGGGGAAGACAGCTTCCTAGAGAGCCTTTCCTTAGAGTGCCAGGGTCTCCTTAGTATTGGACACATACAATGGCCTGGCCACCAGGGGCCGGAATATTGGGTATGGCCGCTCCCTGCTGGTAACTTGAATATCGCCCGCCCTACCACCACCAAGGTTCTGACTGACTTGAGTCTGGGTCCCCATGCAGCCCAGATAGGCCTGAGGCTAGCTATATGACCTTTGAACTCCTGATCCTCCCACTTCTACGTCTCAAGTGCTAAGATTACTAATGTGAGCCACCGCACCGCTTGTTTTGAGTCTTCCCATTTTTGAGAAGTTGAAACTCTTGTCTCCAGCCTCCCCTGCAAAGATACCTCAAAGCCTCTGGAGTCAGCCAAGGGAGTCACACCCAGCCTGGGAAAACCCTGTGCTTTTCACCGACTCACTGAACATCTCCAAAGAAGGTGGTCACGGTGGCACCTGGTAAAGGCAGGAGTGTCACAACTTGGCAAGTCCAGGCTAGGCCAGCCAGGGCTACCAGTGAGACCCTGTCACTAAACTAAACTAAATTCACTAATTGACGATCTCAAAGAGCTGGCGCCCTGCAGTTCATTTCTCCTGAGACTCGGCAGGCTCAATTCAGCTAAGCCCTCCTTTGCCCTCTCACGCCTCTCTCAGAATGTACTTGAACTCACACTACTATGAATGTCCCCATTTTTGACCCCTTTCCCTGAAAGATCAAGGACAGAGACTGAAGAAGTCACCAGGGCAGTCGTTTTGTCAGAGGTGACATGCTTCAGGTTGGACTTGAATTTCTTGCATCTGAGCTAATTGCTGTGTTGATGTATCCACCTATAAAATTACAGAGTGGCTCATCCAGGGCCCCTGCATCTGTCGCAAGTCCCAGAAGCTTTCCCTCCCCGTGGGCTCCGGCAGGCTGCCTGCTGGGCTCTGAGGACCAGATCCTGGACCCATCCTTGGACATCAGCTCCTATGGCAGCCCTCACAGACCTCTCTTTCATGTACCGCTGGTTCAAAAACTGCAATCTGGTTCGAAATCTCTCAGAGAAGTATGTCTTCATCACGGGCTGTGACTCTGGCTTTGGGAACCTGCTGGCCAGGCAGCTCGTAGACCGGGGCATGAGAGTGCTTGCGGCTTGCCTCACTGAGGAGGGAGCCCAGAAACTCCAGCAGGAAACCTCCTACCAGCTGCAGACCATCCTCCTAGACGTCACCAAGACTGAGAGCATCAAGGCGGCAGCCCAGTGGGTGAGGGACCAAGTGGGCGAGCAAGGTGGGGTGAACTGCCTTCTTCAGCATTCTCTCCCCCTCCCCCCTCCCCCTCCCCCTCCCCCATTCCCTGGGACTCTGACACACAAATGGAACTGGAGAGATCAAGTAGGGAACAGGCCAGGGGGGGCTTTGGTGAAGTTGAATCTGGAACCATTGCACGGTTTGGCCAGTTGACATGAGGAGGGAGAATCCTGAGAACATTCTCTCCTTCAGAGGTTCAGGACAGAGGCAGCAGTTGTAAATTCTGAATGCTCAAACCTCTAAAGATGGGGATGCCTTTTGGAGACTTCGGGAGTCCCAACATTGACTCCCATAGAATTGCAGTCACATTTCCTGGAGGGCTGAAGAGAGCAACAGCAACACAGGGGCCAGAGGTGGCACCACGAGAGGGGCAGGCCCGTCTCTCTTTACATCACCATGGATGTTGCTGTCCCGCAGGGGGTTGCTCCCATTGGACAATGAGCCTGTGTTGGGGGCTGTACCAAGAATACATGGGGACTTGCCTGGTGAACTTGGGGCATGCAGGGTGTGGACACAGGATTGCTTAGCTACAGGAACAGAAACTGTGGGGAAATAGTTGCTTCTGAAGAATCGCTAGACCTCTGCCTGGGTCAGATCAGCAACTCTTTTTAACATTTAGCCCTATCCAGTACACAATGCATTTCAATTGTTTTTAAATTTTTTATCATTATTATTGCTGGGGTGTGTATGTGTTTGGTGTGTGTGTGTGGTGTGTATGCGAATGTGTGTGTGTATGTGTGGTGTGTGTGTGTGTGTGTGTGTGTGTGTGTGTGTGTGTGTGTGTGTGTGTGTGTGTACAGTGCACGAAGAGGCCAGAAGAGGGCATTGGTTCTGTGGATCTGGAGTTACAGAAAAAGAAAACGGATTAGGAAAAAATGTGTGTGGAAGTCAGAAGATAACTTTTAGAAGTCAGTTCTCTTCACCATATGAGACCTGGGTATTGAACTCAGGTCACCAGACTTGTGCTGCAGACACCTTTATCTGCTGAGCCATACTACAGGCCCTCTCTTTCTTTACCATCTGTCTTCTCTGCTGGATAAAGCCCCCTGAGAGCGGGTTATGTCTCTTACTCATTCCGTGTCCTCAGTTCCTAGGACGATATCTGGCACCCAGGAAGGTGCTCAGTAAGATGTTTGTTGGAAGAGTAGTTAATGAATAATTCAGCCAGGGCGAGCCTCTTCCACCATGCTGTCCCAGCCTGTTCCCTGCATGCAGCCTCCAGCACTGGCCATCGTGACTCACTGGGTGAGTCAGTCTCCCATCATTGCTGCAACAAATCCATGTAAATGCAGTGGGTCAATCAACACACATTTATTACCCCACGATCCCAGAGGAAAGAAGTCCAAAATGGTTCTCACCAGCCAAGGTCTCAACAGAGCTGCACTCATTCTGGGGGCTCTGGGGTAGAACTCACTTCCAGGATTTTCCACCTTTGACAGTGGCCAACATTCCTTAGCTCAAGGCCCACTCCCTCTTCCAGTAAGCTTGGGCCATGATCTCATCATACTTTTTCATTTCTGGCTCCTGTGTTCTTCCTCCTAGGTGTCCTGTGGTTATATGCACTTACCTGGTGAACTTGGAATAATGTCCCCAGCTTATGATTCATTGATCAACGGCCTCCCTCCCACCTATAGTCTTAATTCTCCCTCTCCCATGCAACCTAACAAATTCTAGGTTCCTGCGATGGTGACATCTTTGGAGGGACTGTTATTCTGCTTGTGCCACTGGGAAACATCTTTCATGGAAGACACGTGAGGGGTTGGGTGAGGTGATGCACACCTGTATCCTGGAGCACAAGGCACTGAGGCAGGAGGACAGACCACATTCTGTAGAGCCCTTAGCCCTGCTCTATTCTTCAATTATTCTTTTTATTAATTATAGTTTAAATTTCCTTTAAATTAGAAACAAGCTTGCTTAACATGTTAGTCCCAGCTCCCTCACCCTCCCCTCCTCCCTGCTCTCCAGTTCCCCCAACCCCCACTCCATCCCCCCTCCACTCCCCAGGGAGGGTGAGGCCCTCCATGGGGAATCTTCAAAGTCTGTCATATCATCCGGGGCAGGGCCTAGGCCCTCACCCACATGTCCAGGCTGAGAGAGCTTCCCTCCATGTGGGATGGGCTCCCAAAGCCCATTTGTGCACCAGAGCTAAATATTGATCTACTATTCAAGGCCACATAGATTGCTGAGGCCTCCTCACTGACCCCCACATTCAGAGGGTATGGATCAGACCCATGCTGACCTCTCAGTCACCAGTCTGGGGTCCATGAGCTCCCCCTTGTTCAGATCAGCTGCCTCTGTGAGTTTCACCAGCCAGGTGTTGACTTCTTTGCTCTCTGTAACTGGGTTCTAGGAGTTCAGTTCAGTGTTTAGCTGTGGGTGTCTGCCTCTGCTTCCATCAGCCACTGGATGAAAGCTCTAGGATGGCATATAAGGTAGTCATCAATCTCATTAACTGGGGGAGGGCTTCTAAGGTAGCCTTTCCACTATTGCTTAGATTGCCAGTTGGTGTCATCCTTGTAGATCTCTGAAAATCTCTCTAGTGCCAGATCGCTTCTCAAACCTATAATGACTCCCTCTATTATGATATCTCTCATCCTGCTCTCCTCTATTCTTCCCCAGAATCAACCTTCCTGTTCCCCCATGTCCTCCTCTCCCCTCCTCTTCTCCCCATCTCTTTCTCCCAGCTTCCTCTCCCCTCCCCTTCCCCCTGGTCCCAATCCCCTCAGGATATCCTATCCCATTCCTCTTAGAGTCCTCCCTGTTCCCCAGACTCTCTGGAGGTGGAATTGTAGGCTGGCAATCCCATGCTCCATGTCTAAAATCCATATATGAGTGAGTACATACCATGTTTGTCTTTTTGTGACTGGGTTACCTCACTCAGGATGGTTTCTTCTAGTGCTGTCCATTTGCCTGTGAATTTCAAGATTCCATTGTTTTTTCCGCTGAGCAGTACTCCATTGTATAAATGTACCACATTTTCTCTATCCACTCTTCAATTGAGGGGCATCTAGGTTGCTTCAAGCTTCTGGCTATTACAAATAATGCTGCTATGAACATAGTTGAACAGATGTCCTTATTGTATGAATGTGCATCTTTTGGGTATATGCCTAAGAGTGGAATGGTTGGATCTTGTGGTAGACTGATATCCATTTTCCTGAGGAATCCCCATACTGATCTCAAAAAAAGGCTGTACAAATTAGCACTTCCACCAGCAGTGGAGGAGTGTTCCCCTTTCTCCACATCCTCTCCAGCATAAACTGTCATAAGTGTTTTTGATTTTAGCCATTATGACAGGAGTGAGATGGTATCTCAAAGTTGTTTTGACTTACATTTCCCTGATGGCTAAGGATGTTGAGCACTTTCTTAAGTGTCTATTTTAGATTCCTCTATTGAGAATTTTCTATTTAGTTCTGTACCCCACTTTTTAATTGGATTATTTGGTGTTTCAGAGACTTGCTTCTTGAGTTCTTTGTAAATTTTGGAAATCAGCCCTCTGTCAAATGTGGGGTCAGTGAATATCTTTTCCCATTCTGTGGACTGCCTTTTTGTCTTGTTGTCTGTGTCCTTTGCCTTACAGAAGCTTCTCAGTTTCAGGAGGTCCCATTTATTAATTGTCGATCTCTGTCTGTGCTACTGGTGTTACCTTCAGGAAGCTGTCTCCTGTACCAATTCATTCAAGGGTACTTCCCACTTTCTCTTCTAAGAGAATTTATGTTGAGGACTTTGATCTATTTCGACTTAAGTTTTGTGCGTGCTGATAGATATGGATCTATGTGCAATCTTCTACATGCCAGCATCCAGTTATGCCAGCACCATTTGTTGAAGATGTTTTCTATTTTCCATTGTGTAATTTCAGCTTCTTTGTCAAAAATCAGGTGTTCACTGGTGTGTGTTAATATCAGGGTTTTCAATTCAACTCCATAGGTCTACCTGTTTGTTTTTGTGCCAATACCAAGCTGTTTTCAGGATGATAGTTCCATAATAGAGCTTGAAGTCAGGGATGGTGATGCCTCCTGAATTTCCTTTATTCAACAGGGTTGTTTTGGCTATCCTTGGTCTTTCGTTTTTCCATATAAAGTTGAGAATTGTCCTTTCAAGGTCTGTGAAGAATTGTGCTGGGATTTTGATAAGGATTGCATTGAATCTGTAGATTGCTTTTGGTAAGATTGCCATTTTTACTATGTTGATCATGCCTATCCAAGAGCATGGGAAATCTTTCCATTTTCTGGTATCTTCTTTAAATTTATTTCTTTAATGACTCAAAGTTCTTGTCATACAGGTCTTCCACCTGCTTTTTCAGAGTTGCCCAAGATATTTTATGTTGTTTGTAACTATTGTAAAGGGTGATGTTTCTCTGATTTCTTTCTCAGCACATTTATTGTCTATATATAGTATAGTATATATTGTATCCTGCCACTTTGCTGAAGGTGTTTATCAGGTGTATGAGTTCCTGGGTAGAATTCTTCAGGTCACTTACATAGACTATGATGTCAACTGCAGTTAGTGAAGGTTTTATTTCTTCCTTTCCAATTTGTATCCCCTTGATCTCCTTTTGTTGTCTCATTGCTCTAGCAAGAACTTCAAGTACAATATTTAAGAGATATGGAGAGAGTGGACAACCTTGTCTTGTTCCTGATTTTAGAGGAATTGCCTTGAGTTTCTCTCCATCTAGTTTGATGTTGGCTATAGGTTTACTGTATATTGCCTTTATTATGTTTAGGTATGTTCCTGTTATCCCTGATCTCTCCAAGACCTTTATCATGAAGGGGTGTTGGATTTTTGTCAAAAGCTTTTTCAGCATCTAGTGGGATTATCATGTGGTTTTTCTTTTGCAGTTTGTTTATATGGTGGATTACATTGATGGATTTTCGTTTGTTGAACCATCCCTGTATCCCTGAGATGAAGCCTACTTGATCATGGTGGATGATTTTTCTGATGTGTTCTTGGATTCAATTTGCCAGTATTTTATTGAGTATTTTTGCATCAGTGTTCATGAGGGAGATTGGTCTGTAGTTCCCTACCTTAGTTGTGTCTTTGTGTGGTTTGAGTAACAAGGTGATTGTAGGCTTGTAAAAAGAGTTTGACAGTGATCCTTCTGCTTCTATTCTGTGGAACAATTTGAAGAATATTGGTATTACCTCTTCCTTGAATTTCTGGTAGAATTCTGCACTAAAACCATCTGGCCCTAGGCTTTTTTTTTTAGTTGGGAGACTTTTGATGGCTGTTTCTATTTCTTTAGGGGTTATAGGCCTATTTAAATTGTTTATCCATTCTTGATTTAATTTTAGCAAGTGTTATCTATCCAGAAAATCATACATTTCCTTTAAATTTTCCAATTTTGTGGAGTACAAGTTTTCAAAGTATGACCTGGTGATTCTCTGGATTTCCTCATTGTCTGTTGCTATGTCCCCCTTTTCATTTCTGATTTTGTTAGTTAGCATGCTCTCTCTCTGTCTTTTGGTTAGGTTGGATAAAGGTTTGTCTATCTTGTTGATTTTCCCAAAGAACCAACTCTTTGTTTCATTGATTCTTTTTATTGTTTTCTTTGTTTTTACTTTATTGATTTCAGCTCTCAATTTGATTATTTCCTGGCATTTACTCCTCCTAGGTGAGTTTGCTTCATTTTGTTCTAGAGCTTTCAGATGTTCTGTGAATTCTCTAGTGTGGCTACTCTCCAGTTTCTTCATGTGGGCACTTAGTGCTATGAACTTTCCTCTTAGCACTGCTTTCAGAGTGTCCCATAGGTTTGGGTATGTTGTGCCTTCATTTTTGTTGAATTCTAGGAAGTCTTTGATTTCTTTCTTTATTTCTTCTTTTGCTCAGGAGTGATGCAATTGGACATTGTTCAATTTCCATGAGTTTGTGGGGTCTCTGCAATTTGTGTTGTTGTTGAATTCTAATTTTAAGCCATGGTGGTCTGATAAGGTACAGGGTGTTATTACAATTTTTTGTATCTGTTGAGGTTTGCTTTATTGCCAAGTATGTGGTCAATTTTAGAGAAGGTTCCATGTGGCGCTGAGAGGAAGGTATATTCTTTTGTGTTTGCATGATTCTATAGATGTCTGTTAAACCCAATTGGGTCATAACTTCTGTTAGTTCCTTGTTTCTTTGTTAAGTTTCTGTCTTGTGGCCTGTCCAGTGATGAAAGTGGGGTGATAAAGTCTCCCACTATAAGTTTGTGGGTTTTAATGTGTGATTTGAGTTTTAGTAATGTTTCTTTTATGAATATGGGTGCCTTTGTATTTGGAGCAATGATGTTTAGAATTGAGACTTCATCCTGATGGATTTTTTTCCTGTGATGAATATGAAATGACCTTCTTCATCTCTTTTGATTAATTTTAGTTTGAAGTCTACTTTGTTAGATGTTAGGATAGCTACACCCGCTTGCTTCTTAGGTCCATTTGACTGGAAAATGTTTTCCCAGCTCTTAACTCTGAGGTAATGTCTGTCTTTGAAGGTGAGGTGTGCTTCTTGTATGCAGCAGAAGGATGGGTTTTGTCTTGGTATCCATTCTGTTAGCTTGTGTCTTTTTTATAGGTGAGTTAAGACCATTGATATTGAGGGATATTAATGATCATTAATTGTTGATTCTTGTTTATTTTAGATTAGTTTTGGTGGTGTTATTATGTGTGAGTCCCCCCCCCATTTCTGGCTTTTGATAAAGTGAGATTATCTGTTGCTTATGTTTTTGTGAGTGTAGTTAATTTCCTTGGGTTGGAGTTTTCCTTCCAGAAATTCCTGTAGGACTGGATTTGTGGATATGCATTGTGTAAATCTGGTTTTGCCATGGAATATCTTGTTTTCTCCATCTATAGCGATTGAGACTTTTTCTGGGTATAGTAGTCTGGGCTGGAGTCTGTGGTCTCTTAGTGTTTGTAGAACATCTATCCAGGACCATCTGGCTTTCAGAGTTTCCATGGAGAACTCAGGTGTAATTCTGATAGGTCTGCCCTTATATGTTACTTGGCCTTTTTCCTTTGCTGCTCTTAATATTCTTTCTTTATTCTGTATGTTTGCTGTTTTGATTATTATGTGGTGAGGGAACCTTTTTTGGTCCAGCCTATTTTGTGTTTGGTAAGCTTCTTGTACTTTCATAGGCATACCCTTCTTCAGGTTGGGAAAGTTTTCTTTTATGAATTTGTTGAATATATTTTCTGCACCTTTGAGCTGGACTTCTTTGCCTTCTTCTATACCTATTATTCTTAGATTTGGTTTTTTCACAGTGTCCCATATTTCCTGGATATTTTATGTTAAGGATTTGTTGGATTTAAGATTTTCTTTGGTCGATGAATCTATTTCCTCTAGTTTATTTTCAGCACCTGAGATTCTGTCTTCCATCTCTTGTATTCTGTTAGTTATGCTTGCATCTGTAGTTTCTGGTCATTTACTCAGCTTTTCTATTCCCAGCATTCCCTAAGTTTGTGTTTTCTTTATTGTCTCTGTTTCGGTTTTCAGGTCTTGAACTGTTTGAATTGTTTCCTTCATCTGTTTAATTGTTTTTTTCTTGGCTTTCTTTAAGAGATTTGTTGATTTCTTGCATGTTTTGGTTTGTTTTTTCTTCTATTTCTTTAAGGGATTTTCTCATATCTTCTTTGATGACCTCTATCATTTTCATGAAGTTGTTTTGAAGGTCATTCTTTTCTGTTTCATCTCTGTGGGGATGTTCAGGTCTTGCTGGTGTAGAGTCCCTAGACTCTGGTGGTGTCATATTGGTTTTTCTGTTGTTGACTGTTTTTATAATTCCTTCTTCCCATCCCTTCTTTCAGTGGAAGCTCGTGTGGTCTCTTCCTCTCCTGGTGGGTATGGGCCTAACGTTCTCTTCTAGTGGGTTCTAGCCGGTCCAATACTCCAATGGGTCTCACCATAGGTGCAGGTGGGTCTGAGACACTCTAGGTGAGGGGCAGCCCCAGAAAGATTGAAGCAGGGGGATGCCAGGAGTTTAGGCCCAGAACACAGCCCACACTCACCTCAAGCAGAGGGCAGGGAGTGGAGGGAGACCAAGACTGAGGTGTGGCCAGACTCAGGGTGGTCCTTTCTGGCAGGGTGGGTCCACTCTAGGTGAGGAGCAGGCCCAGGAAGATTGAATCAGGGGGACATGCGAGTTGGGGCCCTGAGAAGGGCCCACACTCACCTCAAGCACAGGGAGGGGGCCAAAGAGGACCAAAGACTGAGGTGTGGCCAGATTCAGGGTGGTTCTTTCTCCTCTAACTATTCTTTATAGGAAACAAACAAGTAATAGTACATCCTCTTTCTCCAGAATACTGTCAGAAGCATGGATGGTCTGTGGCCCTCTCTAGAGCAGAGATCACCCAAGTGTTAGGCTCTTTGCCTCAGGAGCCTTGTTTTCTCCTCTATAAGGCAAGTTCCCTTAGCTGGAAGGACTCTAAGTCCTACCAGCCAGCTGTCCTGGAGTCTCTCTAATCAAGATGGGACTGTACCAGGGAGCAGAATGGAGGGATCAGGGGTTGACGCTCATGGAGTCCCTGGGAACAGAAGAAGCTTGTGTCATTTTTATTGTCACCTCCCCTGGTAGCATTTCACTCAAAAGCTCAATTCATAAAACTAATGAAAGGAATGCTTCTCCCACAGCTCCTGCCCCTAGCAGGCTTGTGGGAACAGCTGTCCTGGTGTTGTTTCATGAGGAGCCCAAGGCCCCAGGAGGGAAGGGACACTTGTCCAAGGCTGGAATCAGAGCTAGACTTAGAACCTGGGTTTCTTCAACCCTGAGGCCCTGCAGAGCTGGAAAACCACAGTTTTCTCCAGTCCCACCTTCCTAATTTGAAGAAACCCCTCATCCCATTTCCCACAAGTGTAGTATTTAAATGTTGTTATTTATCTATAAATACTCTAGGCACACTTTTCTGTCTGGTCTCTGGGCTTCTGGAGGTGTGAGACCCCAACTGGTTCATGTTATGCTTCCTTTGCTTATGCAACCGCCACAAAATAGAAACAGGAGTGAATGAATGAAGTTTGCTAGGTGAATGAATGAATGATTTTGCCATCATGAACTGGTACTCTTTCTACTTGGAAGAGTAGAGAAAAGGATGCCTGACTGGTGAGAGGAGTCAAATCCATTCGTATGAACGTGGTATATCTTACCCATATCCCATGTGCCAACAGTTGCACACATCCTGGGTTATAACTGGTACCGAGCTGGGTTTATTCAGCAGACCACAGGAATCAGGGAAATAAGAAGCATCCCATCGGGAACATTGAGCACTCTGACCTTCAGTCTGCTGCAACTCTTATGGCTGCCCCAAGCCATGAGTGACACCATCCTCGAGTGTGTCTGCCCACTGTCCTTGGGTGTTGTCCCCCTGCTCAGTCATCCTTGGACAACAAGCTGTTGCTTAGTGTCCCTTGGAACTCTCACAGATAAGTTTCTGATTGCTGTGTGGTTCTCTCTACCTTTCTCTCTCACCCTAGGCCTCTGGGCCCTAGTGAACAATGCTGGTGTGGCCCTGCCCAGTGGTCCCAATGAATGGTTGACCAAAGAAGACTTTGTGAAAGTGATCAACGTGAACCTGGTGGGACTGATTGAAGTCACCCTGAACATGCTGCCTATGGTCAAGAAAGCCCGGGGCAGGGTAGTCAACATGTCCAGTTCTGGTGGCCTTGTCGCCGTCATCGGCGGTGGTTACTGTGTCTCCAAGTTTGGTGTTGAAGCCTTCTCTGATAGCATCAGGTGACTGGGTCCTGGTACCAAACCAGGTGGGGGTCTTGGGACTTTACCACAGTAAATAGAGGCCTGAGTGTGTCAGTATGTGGGCAGAGTAGTTCTGGGGAGAAGAATCTAAAACAGAACCAAGAGAAAATGTGAGGAGGAGGAGGGGACCATATGGAATGAAGATAGAAGACATCACCGGGTGGATCTTCCCTTGGGTGGACCCAGAGTGAGGGAAACCCTGGTGGGGAGATGTGAGGGAAGATGGAGAGAGAGAGACAGAGACAGAGACAGAGACAGAGAGACAGAGAGAGACAGACAAAGAGAGAGACAGACAGACAGAGAGAGACAGAGAGACAGAGAGAGAGAGAGAGAGAGAGACAGAGAGAGAGAGAGAGATCATGCATGGCGGCCTGGAGCAGAGGTGCCTCTGGAAGCCCCTCAGAAGATTCTGGTCTTTTTACAGATCCCCTTACTCCTTTGGTCACATGGGTGATGTGTGTAGGGCTGGGTGGAAAGAACCTGGGAGGAGGCAAGACCTTGGCCTAGATTCCCCACTGACTTCCTGTCGGTTTTACCCAGTACAAATTGCTCCGGGCTACTGATCAGTTTGGTAAAGGACCGAGGCCCGTGGAAAGCTTGTCTGCATAAGGCAGTGTTGAGATTCCGTTCTTACAGTGAGACGAACACCTCCAGGTTTCGGGAGGGATTGGGTCCCCCCAAAGGTATCTGATGCCGGCCATTCTGAGCCTAGACCAAATGCAACTCTTAATCTCACAGGAGAGAGCTTCATTTCTTCGGGGTGAAGGTCAGCATTATTGAGCCAGGGAACTACCGGACATCCATTCTGGGCCACGAAGCTCTGCAGTCGCGCATGAAGAAGCTGTGGGATCGGCTGCCTCAGGAAACCCGGGAGAGCTACGGAGAGGAATATTTCCAAGTCTGTGAGTCTCCAGGAGGAAGTAGACTGTCTGAGGACGATCTGGAGGGCTCGGGGGGTCACTGGCTTGGTTTCCCTTTACAGATGATGGGACAGAGCCTCGGAGATCATACATTCAGCCAGTAGCAAAGCAGGAGTTTGAGATTAGTACTCAGATAGCAGGGCCATAGCCGTGGGAAAGGTAGGGACATGTGGAGAGACACTGTTTGCTTTGGTACTTACCCTCCAAGAGTCAGGTGCCAGGTGCAGGTAGGTTCTGTGAAAACACGCTGACAGGAGACCAGCAAAGTGACAAAGAGCTTGTATACGGGAGCCAGACCTCCTGCTTCAAGTCTAGGCTCTGTCTGCCACTTGTGAGCTTGATCACTGGCTTGTTAATTAATTAATTAATTAATTAATTAATTAATTTGGTGACGTCATTGTTTCCCTTCTAAATTTGTTGCTGTTTTTTGTTTGTTTTGTCTTGTTTTTCCTAAGGCAGGGTCTCTGGTAGCTAAGGCTGTCTTAAAACTTCATATGTAGCTGCAGAGGACCTTGACCCTGCTTCTGTTTCCCTATGCTGTAATCACAGGGGTATGCCGCCGTGCCCAGCTTGATCACCTCATGCCTCAGTTTCTCATCTGCACTAGGAGCTTAGAGATAGTGCTGAGGTCTTTGGGAGACACCTAAAATCTGAATTACAATGATATACATCAGTCAAGTCTGTGGCAGGTCGGCAACTGCCCAGGGGTAGGAGCTTGTGCCCAGTGGCGTGTTTTCCTGGACGCTGTTATATGTCAACAGCGATATGAGCCAAGGCTGGAAAACCAAGAAGACTGTCTTCACTTGGAAGGTCTTTCACTAAGACTATCACACATCAGACACTGGACAGAGTAGCACATTTGCTGCTATAATCCGGGCTATCCTGGCCCCACCCCTTGATCACTGGCTTGTTAATTAATTAATTAATTAATTTGGTGATGCCACCTCTGTGCATGACAAGCAATATCCTAGTTCGGTACACAGGTGCAAAGGTCCCTTTAAGAGACAAACTCTGCCTACTTTCTCCTTCTGCCATTTCTCTGAGGAGGCAGCTCTCTGTCTGTCTGTCTCTCTCTGTGTCTCTTCTCTCTTCCCCCAATAAGCTTCCCATGTAAGTCCTGCGTGATGGCATATTTGTCTCACACCTGCCATGGGACAAAGGTCCCTTACTGCCTGTAGTTGAAGACACTGTAGGGAAACAAATATCACACACAACTGTGGTTAAGTGTCATTGAGGATAAGTAAGGCTAGGAAAAAGGACAAGAGTCAGGGTTGGAGCCTGAATTCAGATTCCGGTATAAAAGAGTTGAGAGATTCTTCCTCATCTGGAGGTCCCATTGCAGGATGAGCCCAAGCCTAGTCATTACCTTGCTCAGAGGTTCTGATTGGCTCAGGCTGGGTCATGTGCCCACGGATCCCACAAAAGGTGAAGGTACAGCTTGGGAAGTAAGGGAATAGATGGTAGAGGGAATGAATCATGTAATCCTCTGCATGATTCTTAAGCAAAGAATGGGCCAAATTATTTACAGGCCTACTCTGAGGCTGGAGTGAAATGCAGATTTAGTCAGTTTCTGGAAACTTCACAAGGGCCGTTTCCTAGGTGAAAACCTACTGTAGACAGAGACTACAGAGTTTCCAATGGGTCCTTGAAAGTGCAGAGGCAAACTTCCCTGAAAGCCACTTGTCAGAGAATGGTGTGTGTGTGTGTGTGTGTGTGTGTGTGTGTGTGTGTGTGTGTGTGTGTTCACTATGACTATGCTAAAGAACAGTAAGAGTTGGCCTGATAAATAGCCTAGGCTAATTTACCTACATTCCACACTGTGATTTTCCAAGAGCAGGTGATAAGTGCGTTTAGATAAACTTCTCCCAAGCAGTTAATTTTCAGCTCTACAGAGGAGCTCTGAAAGCAAGTACATTGCACCCAGAGCATCATGGGTAGGCACAGAAAACAAGGCCACTCTGGAGTGGTTACAGAGACCCAGCTCTGCTGTGGCCAAAGGCTCACAGAGGTGACAATTAATACTTTAGTTTTGCTGGGTTAATCGGAGTTCACCAGCAGGGACAAGATGTTAGTTATTTCTCACAGAATGCTCATGGAACTCTGGTATCTAGATGTGGAGCAGATTCTAAGGCATGATTCCATAGCTCTCAAAAATGAAGGCTTGTTCACCTAAGTATAATTCTTGAACCTGGCAAACTTTTGGTGGAGTCTTTACTACCATCCTGGCAAGCAGCATGAATGGGGTGGAGGCAGGCAGGGCGGGAAGCCTCTGGAGGTCCCCACCCTGAGGAATGTGGATCTTGTCCTGAGGCTCTAGGGGACTTCTAAAGAAACTCAAAATAGCTGGGGAAGATAAGGAGACAAGATGGGAGATCTGCTGAAACTCATAATTGAAAGCTGAGGTGACAGGTACTGGTAGTGTGGGGACAGGGACAAGCTCTGAGACAGACTGGAGGGATATTTAGGAGTGACAATACAGTGCCATGTGACATAAACTCTAGTCAGTGTCTCTGGCTAACTCAGCAGGTCCCTGGCTTTGAACCCCAGGAGCAGCTCCAGATTTCTTGGCATTACTTTTAACTACATCTGGGCAGAACCATATGAAAGAGGCACAGAGTCACCAGGTCAGGCATGTGAAGAGGACAATGTTCTAGCGCTGATGGATATCAAGATAGGCTGCAGCCAAATGGGTTAAGGAGGAGCTGAGGAGGAGCAGAGTATTAGCTGCATCTCATCTCCGTCCTGCTGGAAGGCCCTCAGAAATTCCCTCTTTAGCCACCCCTTACTTAGTGAGTTTCTGTCGCACAGAAGAGAACGCAATGTCAAGTGTTAAGGCCAAAGTGGCAGAGCCTGGGCTCCAGTATTTCCTAGAGAACTGTCTCAAGAATGAAAACTCTTTCTCACTAAAAGACAGCCTGCCTTTAAGTGAGCAACTGGCCGTGGAGCACAACCTCTGAAGCCATGAACCAAAATAAATGTTCCCTTTAGCTTTTTTTCCCTCGGGTATTTTGACACAGGAAACAGAAAGATGACAGCCACCTGTGCCACTCTCTAGGATCCATGTCATCCCCCCATTTTACAGATAATAAAAGCGTGTGTTCCAGGTCAGACAGCTGCTGAGTGGTTTGTTGCAGAAGAATTGGGCTAGGTCTTTTTGTTGCTCATCTGTAAAACGGTGATATTTCCAGACACAACCCTAGAGTTTATCAAGAGAAACAAGATATTGCAATGATCCTGTATGAGTGTCTAGTGAGGGACACTGTGCCAGTGTGGAGACTTGCTTTAAGTGCTGAATCCGACTGCTAATAGGCAGGGGATTGGGTGGAATTCAGTGGGGAATGGTTTTTTTGTTTGTTTGTTTGTTTTGGGTTTGTTTTTGTTTTGTTTTGTTTTTAAAGAATAACAAGGGCTTTTGATCTATCTTTCTGTCACCCCCAATGTCTCAAACAGATACTGAAAAATTGGTTAACTTGATGCAGTTGGCCCATCCAAAAATCAGTGATGTCACCAACAGCATGGAGCACGCTATTGTCTCCAGGAGCCCCCGGATCCGCTACAACCCTGGCCTGGATGTCAAGCTTCTGTATATCCCCCTGGCTAAGCTGCCCACCTCTGTGACGGATTTCATCCTGAGTCGATACTTGCCAAGGCCAGCAGACAGTGTTTGAGCAGGGGAGCTGGAGGGGTAGCCTGTGGGGCATAGAGGAGGGGACAAAGGATTGTGGGGTCACAAGAGGCGACATACCGACATCTTGTGGGTATCTGACACCCATTGTTGTCATGTCTCCCCACTTCTACTGAGGCCTCCGGAAATCTGATGTGGCCCACGCTGATTTAGAGAGTTGCCATATAGACCCCAAGACACCTCTCACCTAGGCACATACACGTGGTCCCAGCCCTGGAAAAGTCAAGGAGAAGACAGCTGGCTTCTGTTGAATGACAAGCTGTGACCACCTCTGTAGAATACCATGGGAAAATCTCAGTCCCCTCCCCACGGCTGTCTGCACAAGCACTGACCTACCCATATATGAAATATGTAATATAGCACCAAGAACTGCCAGAGTACCCAGAGATGGTCTTAAATTGTCCCCTTTTCTTTGTGTTCCTCTATCTGTAGGTGATTGGGATCCACATAACACCTCTTTAATCACCATTGATTAATGTTTCAAATATTTATTGAGTACTAACCACCTACCAGGCACTGAGGTTCTGGGGGTATAGGAGGATGTGAAATCAAGATCTTGGATTTTTATTGTCTACCTTGTGTTTTATTTTGTTACAGTAGCTAGCAACAGAGACAGGACAGTGGGAGGAGGGACAGAAATCAGAAAATGAAAATTGGAGTTACAATGTAATAGTTCCCTAACTTGGACTCTATCATAGTCACTCAATTAATCAAAGTACATATGGATGCTGGAGAGGCGGCTCCGGGATCCGGGTTAGATTCCCACATGGTGTCTCATAACAATTCATAATTCCAGTTCCAGGGGATCTGATGTCCTCTACTGGTCTCCACAGGCACACATGGAAGCCAGGCACGGTGTCTCATGCCTGTAATCCCAACACTTGGAACTGAGATAGGAGAATTTTTGTGAGTTCAAGGGAAGACTAGATTACAAAATAAGACACTGTCCTGGGAAGCAAACAAAAAATACATATGGATGTTAATGTTAGACAACATGATTTAATAGACCCAAGACAGACACCAGGACTATGAATTGGTTCCAAGGCCCTAGATGAGTCCCTGTGCACCTGGGAGCCACTGGTAACCCCACAGGAGAATCAGCTAATATGCTCTGAGTGGGAAGCAATTTACCCGAAGGCCCCCAGCTCACTGGTCAGAGCTCAAGAATACAGATTCCTTTTTTATCTATAGAAGAGTAACTGTAATGTCTTCAAATATGTCATGGAACTGAATAATACATATTCTTGAAAACAGTCATGAACTTCTGGGTTATATGAGCCTTTGCTGAAAAGAATTTTTTTTAGATACTTAGTATCAAACCCAGAGCTTGAGCGTTCTAGGCAAACCCTGTATCACTGAGCCATGTCTCCAACCCTCAGACTTTAAGTTAGGACTTTACCAAATAGCTCAGGCTGGCCATGAACTTGCGATAACTTTCAATATTCCCTCAAACTCATGATTCTCCTGCCTCTGCTTCCAAAGTGCTGTGACTACAGACATGGGCCACCAGTCCCAACAATAAGGATTAAATAAAACTGTTAAAATTTTTTGACTGTTTATGCAATAAAACTCAAATATGACTCTTTAAAATCAAAATGTCTTTGTTTCATTAACATCTGGTTTGAGGTTGGAGATACATGTGACTTTAGTTATTTCTTCAAGCTCCTCCCAGATTCTGGGATTTAGCATTCCCCTCCTTGGGAAGAGAGGGGCACACTACACAACCCTCTGCACTCTGTTACTTCTGTTTTTTGTTTTTTTGTTTTTTGTTTTTTTGGGGTTTTTTTTTTTTTTTTTTTTTTTGGTTTTTACGAGACAGGGTTTCTCTGTATTGTTTTGGAGGCTGTCGGTCCAGCCTGGCCTCGAACTCACAGAGATCCACCTGCCTCTGCCTCCCGAGTGCTGGGATTAAAGGCGTGCACCACCACCGCCCGCACTCTGTTACTTCTATTCCTAGCATCAAATTCGATAGAAAGAACTGAGGAGGGAGCCACGGAGAGCCTGCCCCACTTGGCGTAAATGTTAAATAGTGAGAGCAGGGCTCAGCTCCCACGGGCTTGGCTCTGCTCTCAAGGCTCTGACTGCTTCACCTCAGAGGCAGGAACACCAGTGGTGGGAACTCTGCTCCTTCACTCCTAACTCCCAGGGGAAACAGTTTACTTTCCAAGGCATTCTGGATGCGGAAAGGTGTTTTCTTACAGCCCCCATGGGAGCTTCTCATAGAATCCCTGTTGTGAAATATTATTTTAGCCAGCTAAAGAGGTGTTACATGTGTTCAGGCTGCAGAATGTTACTTTAACCAGGCAAAGGTGTGCTACCTTCGTTTCTGCTGCATTTGTTTAATTGTGTAAAGATGTGCTGCATCTGTTTCTCCTTGCCTGCCTAAGGCAACTGATTGATCTCATACAAAGCTGAACAGCCAGGGCAGGAGAAAGATAGATGGGGCTGGTGGGAAGAAAGAATAAGTAGGAGGAGAAATCTAGGCTTGAAAAAAAAATGGAGAGAACGAGGGAGAAATTCAGGGACACACCTGGGGCCAGAAGCCACCAGCTACCAGCCCCCAGCCAGACACAACAAGCAGTAAAAGACATACAGAAGGTAGAAAGTCCTGAGTCCAAATGTAGATAAAGAGAAACAGGTTCAGTTATAAGAGCTAGCAAGAAGCATAAGGTGAGGCAGAACATTCAAAACTAATAACAAGTCTCTGTGTCATTATTTGGGACCTACTTGGTGGCTTAAAAGAAAAAAAAAGTGCTTTAAATCTCAGTGACTCCTACTGGCTTAGCCTTGTCTGTCCCTGAGCCGATCCCCAATTAGGGTTCCAGCTGACAAACTGTGGAGGTTAACTATAGGAGAGGGGGATGTTGGGGAGCTGTCACAATGCTTACTGGCCTGGAAAGTGAAAAACTCACTCCTCTAAGCTACTGAGAGGGCTGAGCAAATGTAAATATAAATTTTCTTGACAAAAGACATAGAAGCGTCAGGCGTGCGTGGTGGTGCATACCCCTAATCCTAGCACTTCGAAGGTAGAGGCCGGGGCTCAGGGGTTTAAAGTCACTCTCTCTTGCATACGGTGTTTGAGGCCAGCCCTATCACACACAAATGGTGCAAACACTGTATTATAAGGAAATTGTGTGTGATGGTATTCTGAGATATTCATTTATACTTTCCCAGGCTCCTTGCTGTCCTGTCTTCCCTTCCCCCCACTTAAGTAGGTACCTAAAGGGAGACTTTTCCTAGGGCAAGACGTTTGACAGAACACACAAATTTCCTTTCTCGACTTTTATTTGCACAACTCTACAGTTGTTAGAGAAATGATGGACTTTAGAGAATGAAGTGCAATAATGTTACTTCTGGACAGGTCCAATGTCTCTGTGAAGCTGTTCCTTCTCCAAAGACTTGAGGAGTCACCGGCTGTTGAGAGAACCAGGTGGTGAAGTTTAAGTTTCCTGGGGCAGTTTCTGGAAGCACTCTGGAGACTGTCCAGACTGAACAAATGCCATGCTGTGGGTACGCGCAGTAGATGAGAAGCTGGGTCATGTCACAGTCACATGTCCCACTCTACAAGGCAGGAAGGCTGTAAGAGTCACGAAGTAAAAGGTTTATGCATTGCCACATCAGGCATTTATTTGAGTAACCTGTGTAGACAGAAGATTTCATCTTACAAGGTGGGAATGTATCTCAGTGGTTAGCACTTCCCCTAGCATGCAGGAAACCCTGGGCTCAACCTGAAACATTTCAGGAAGAAAAAATAGTTCCTGTGTGTGTGTGTGTGTGTGTGTGTGTGTGTGTGTGTGTTAGAGCGGTACCCCTCTGTGTGACTCGAGAGAATATTAAAGGCATGGATGAAGTTTATTGACAGGGACCAACGCCTCATAACCATGGGACTTGGCAAAGCCTTCCTTTGGTCCATGTGTGTGGATGTTGGCAATTTGTGTAAAAACTAAGGACCACAAGCTTCTTTCTTTCCAGACCACTACCCTACAGAGACTTCCCACCCAGACTAGCTAACTCCTCCCTGTGCTGTAGGAAGGAAATGGCTTCCACGCTGGGGTTGTTACAGGTGGAACAATATAGGACAGGTGCCATTCTGCCAGGGAGAACCCATCCCACCCAACCCCGCTTTTCTCCTTTCTTCATTCTCTTGCCCCAGACACATCCCCAGGACCAAGCAGTGCTGGACACGTTACCCGTCCACCTCATAGCAGTTGAAGTATTTTTGAGTTTGTGAACTGTGGCTCTTAGTTACTTCAATGTTATATTTTACTTCATCCCATGTTAGGACTGTGCTTTTTTTTTAGCTATTTTCCTAGTTTTAAATTGCCTTTCTTTTTCTTGATGCTTAGTATTAATTATTAAATCAGAATACAAATTATTTCTTTAAAACAATTTTTAGCCGGGCGTTGGTGACGCACACCTTTAATCCCAGCACTCGGGAGGCAGAGGCAGGGGGATCTCTGTGAGTTTGAGGCCAGCCTGGTCTACATAGTGAGTTCCAGGACAGCCTCCAAAGCCACAGAGAACCCCTGTCTCGAAAAACCAAAAAAAAAATTTTTTTAGGCCAGGTGTAGTAGCCCAGCCTCACGCCTTTAATCCCAGCACTCTGGAGGCAAAGACAGGTGGATCTCCATGAATTCAAGGCTAGCCTTGTTTCTATAGTGAATTCCAGGACAGCCAGAGATATACAATGAGACTCTCTCTTAGAAAAAAATTAATGTTATTTTGAGACAGGGTTTCTCTGTAGCTTTGGAGCCTGTCCTGGAACTCGCTCTGTAGACCAATCTGGCCTCGAACCTGCCACTTCCTCTGGGCTCCTCCTGTGTTTTTAAAGCAGGGAAGTAATATAATCTGATCTACATTTTGTAGGTTTAGATTAATTTATTGTATTATTGTGAGTTATACAAAATGGGGTTTCATTGTGACATTTTCAAACAAAAAATTCATGCAGGGAAAATTTACATAAAAATAAATGTAGTCATTTAAGGGTAGAGTTCAAAAAAGGTTGTTTGTTTTTGTTCTTGTTTTCAGTGCTGGGGTTCAACCCAAGTCTTGTTATATAAATACACGTAACAACAGCACCCATGGGAATGCAGACTGTTTCTCTCATCCTAGAAAATCCCCTTGTCCTCCTTGGGCATTGATCTCCCTCCCTGCACCCTAGTCCTCCAGGTTTGCCTTGCTGTCACTTACTATTAGGAAGGCTACTTTTGCTGCACCGAGGGGATAATTTGGAATGAACTAGAGAGGGAAGCAAGTTTAGAGCTAATGAGAGGCGTGTCACAATAAGAAAAATAATAACAATTAGCATTTACTGGACATAACAGTCTCAAGCACCAGGCTGTTTCCATACACATTTACTTTGTTAATCTCTGTAACAAGTTCCAGGACATTGCCGGGCGGTGGTGGAGTTCGCCTTTAATCACAGCACTCAGAAGGCAGAGGCAGACAGATGTCTGTGAGTTCAAGATCAACAAAGAGAGTTCCAGGATAGCCAGGACTGTTATACAGAGAAATCCTGTCTCAAAAAAAGTAAAGTAATTTCGTCCCTACCCCTCACTCAATGTTGAACCTGGGGCCTGCACATGCTAGGCAAGTTCCCTACCTTTGGGCTACAGCCTCTGCCCATGAGGGTTACTCTTACTTTATGCACAGGAACATTGTTTTTAGATCCAAGAGGACATCTAATTCCAATTAGTCATTGTCTGTGGGGTGCAGCCACACACGTGTGTGCTTTGTCTAAGTACAAAGGATGCAGCACAATGTGCTCTTTGTATAGCGCATCACAATTTAATGAAGTCCCTTTATATACAGTATCCATGTCCCATGGAGAGAAGCTTCATTTCATGTTAGATAATTTTAGCATTTTGTTGTTTGCTTTACGAGACAGAATCCCACTGTGTAGCCCAAGCTAGCCTGGAAATCACTATGTAGCCCTGGCTGGGCTATGTAGCCCAGGATGAGACCCTATGGCAAACCTCCTGCCTTGGCCTCCTAAGTACTGTGATTATGGGTGTGAGTAGCTACCTACACCCAGTTAATTTGAATATTTTTGGGTTGGTCTTACCTCCTCATTCCAGGTCTTTGTTCATAGCTCTGACACATGCTGTTGCAATGGCATATGAGAGTTGAAATCCAGATACCTCCATTAAAGTTCCGTGTGCTCTTGGACGAGCTATTAATTAATTCCTCATGAGTCAATGCCTTTCCCAATGAAGTAGGAATAATGATGTTTCTCTCTCTGAGAGGTGATGGCAGAACACACATGCTCTAACACATATAGAAAAGCTTTGAAAAAGAAGAGATCCAGTTGGGGTTGGGAAGATGGCTCAGTCCAGGCGAGTGTGCAGTCCTGAGTTCAGATCCTCCACACCCACATAAAAAAACGGGCATAGTTGCATGCATCTATAACCCTAAATACAGGAGTGAGCATAACGGGACAGATCTCCAGGAATATCTAGAGATTTAGTGAGTTCCCAAGTCTAGCCAATTAGTGAGTGCCCAGGGCAGTGAGAGGCTGTTTCAAATGAGCAATCAAGGAAGATGCTGGACATCAACATTTGGACCCCACATGCGTGTGCACAACACACACACACACACACACACACACACACACACACGTGCACACGCACACTCAGGGAGGGAAGGGGAGGGAGGGAGGGAGAATGGGGCTGGAACTCACAGGCCAAGCAAGAGGGTTAGCATCTTGTCTTCAGTATGGGGCCAGTTTATGTGGAGACAAAACTTCCTCACACCCCCCCAATTTCCTTTGTCCACCCTAAAGTCACCGAACACTTGGTCCTCTGGCCACTGAAAGCACTGAGCACATGAGATGCAGAATAGAAGGCGGGTGCGAGCCGTGGTGGCCCCAGATTTTCTTCATGGGAGGCAGCTGTGAGAGCAATTAGGCAGGATTACAAGACTAAACTCTTGCCTTGGAAGTGCTTTGGCAGAGCCAGCCTCACTTCCCTTTCAAAAGATACTTTAAAATTACAGTCCCAGAGTAAGACTTCCTGGGTTTAAATCTGCCTCTGCCATTTAGTCACTGTGACCTTGAGGCAAGTATTAACTGCTTTGTGCTTGGGTTTTCTCCCAAGCAAATCAAGGGTGATAATAGTATCCGTTTCACAGGGTCATTATAAAGATCAAAAGAGTTAATAATGATCCAAGTACACAGGCCGTGGTATAGCCTGTAGTAAAGCTACACAATGGTGTTACTCGATCACAACTCTCACTGTTAAGTTTTATACTGACTCAGGGAGGCTGAGAAGGCACTGAGGAGGGCTACGGACGGACAGATCGCTACGGATGGACAGACCCTCCCGTAAGTCACGCATCAACACTACCACAGACTATGTTTTTCACACTGCACCCCTTACCTCTGCCCAGCCTAGGCCCCATATTTCATCTGTCCTCATCATTTAATCATTTCTGTTCCATGTCCGCTCCATCACTGTTGCCGGGGAGAAGGATGGAAGAATTGGTGTTCCTGAGAATCGACGGTTCCTTCGAGGAGTTTTGCTCTATAAGAAACAGAGAAAGAAGTGGAGTTGAGGGACTGCACTGCATCTGAGCTGGTGGTGTCTGTTTTGACAGCGTGAAGACCCGAATTCAAGCTCCAGAACCCACAATGTAAAACTGCTGGATGAGCTGGGCATGGTGGCACATCCTTTAATTCCAGCACTCAGGAGTCAGAGGCAGGCAGATCTCTGAGTTCAAGACCAGCCTGAGTTCCAGGACAACCAGGGCTATGCAGACTCAAGCTTATAAACCCAGTGTTGGAGCCGGGCGTTGGTGGCGCACACCTTTAATCCCAGCACTCAGGAGACAGAGGCAGGTGGATCTCTGTGAGTTCGAGGCCAGCCTGGACTACCAAGCGAGTTCCAGGACAGCCTCCAAAGCCACAGAGAAACCCTGTCTCGAAAAACCAAAAAAATAATAAATAAATAAATAAAATAAACCCAGTGTTGGGGAGGTGGTAGCAGGTGGATGGGCCCCTGAGGCTGGCTGGCCAGACTACTTGATGAGTTCCAGTCCTACAACAGACACAGAGATATTGTCAGAAGCAAGGTGGATTGTCCCAAAAAACAACACCCAGAGTTGCCCGCTGGCCTCCACTAGTGTGTATATGCACATGGGAAGATGAACACACACACACATGTACACACATACACATACATACATATATACACACACATATACATACACATACATATACACCACATATACATACACATACATATACACACATACACATATATACACATACAAATATACACACATGTACACATACATATATACACATACACACATACATATACACACATACATACACACATATACACACATGTACACACATATACACATACATGTACACACATACACACAAGAAAAAGAAAATCCATTTGTTGTAAAGATGGGAGTGATACTTGAGGAGAAAAATGTCGCAGGTGGGGTCTTAGGCTCCTGTCCACCTCTTCTGAGACTGAGGCCTCTTCACAGTGACACCAGGCAGCAGGTTCAGGCTTTATCCGTCTCCTGCTGCTAATAACACAAAACCATTCTAACGGTAGTTTTGGTTTTGTTTGTTTATTGTTTTTCTCTCAATGTGTTATGACCTAGAGTTATTTGGGAAAGGGATCCTTAATTGAGAAAACTATCAAATGTAGGGCATTTTCTTGTTTAGTGACAGGTGTGGGAGGGCCTGGCCTACTCTGGGCGGTGTCAGCTCCGGGGCAGGTGGTCCTGGGGTAAAAACTCAAACTGAAGCCGGGCATTGGTGGCGCACGCCTTTAATCCCAGCACTCGGGAGGTAGAGGCAGGTGGATCTCTGTGAGTTCAAGACCTGCCTGGTTTACATAGCTAGTTCCAGGACAGCCTCCAAAGCCACAGAGAAACCCTGTCTCGAAAAAAAAAAAACAATCAAACTGAGTGAGCCATTTAAGCAGTGTACTCTTCCATTGCTTCTACTTGGCTCCAGCCTCCAGGTTCCTGCCCTGATTTCCTCAGCGATGGACTCACCTGGAAGTGTAAACTGAGACACTTTCCTCCTGTGTTGTTTTGGTCATGGTGTTCATCTCAGCAAGAGAAACCCTAATTAGGACAAAGACTGGAGAAGTTACAAAGGAAGAGTTTATTTTGACTCACAGTGCCAATCCAATGTCAAAGGGTGACACTGTTGATGGTCCATCTTCTCAGAGTCCTGAGGTAGGGTTAGGCCAGGGAAGGCAAGAACCTAACCAAACTGGTTTTAGTTTCAGACCCACTTTCCAGGAAGCTCATTCAATCCTTAAGCCAGTCACCCATTAGTCACTGGATGGACCAATCCATTCAAGAGAGCAAGAGCCCTACTTACCTAGTAAAGGTTTCCTGTCTGACCTCTTAAATCCAGCATAAGCTTTGGGGTGGGACAAACCATGGTAGTTTCTCACTCACACCTCATAGTTTTATCATCACACTGGACTCCTGTGGCATCCACGCCACAAACAAGTCTAATGTATGGGGAAATGAACGACAAGACCTCCAATTGTTTGTGTTAAGAGGATGCATCTGCCGCCTTTATTGCCAGGAGAATGCGAGTGTGTCTGCGTCTCTGCATATGTGCGTCATAAGGAGGAAGCAGCCTCATATACACACTTACAGCACAGGGGAGAAACCCCAGGTGCAAGACTGCATGTTTTCCTCGTGCCAATGGGGTGAGGCCAGGGCTGTAAGCCAGGACCAGAGAACAGGATGCAGCTGTGGCTATCAGCTGACAACTCAGAGACCCCATGGGGGTGGCCCCAACAGAGTCCAGCCTTGCCACCATCAGAGCCATGCTCAAAAAAAATCCTCGTTAGGTGTCAATACCTGAAGCCATTGATTCTGATCAATAAATACACAGTAGTTCAGGCTTCCGGCACTGGCCTAGCCTGGGAGAGAGACTGGTTCCTAGTTAATCACTTCAGGTTAGGAGTGGATGCAATCTCCAAAGACGATAGCATTTTCCACTTAGACCATGGGGCAAGAGTCACAAAGACAGGGAAGCAAATGTTTCTGGCCTACAGTGTAAAGCTAGGGGTTCCCAGTCTGCGTGTCATGGCACCCAAACTACCACTGGATAACACACATGACAATTGTTTTCTTTCAGCTGAAAATGTGCTGTTTCCGGTCCATTAATTTGCCAGAGGTCCTGATGCCTTGTGTCTTTTCACTCTGCCATTCTATAGTCCAAGATGACACCAGCCGGCCAGGATGAGGAAAGAAAGGCCAGGTTTCTGCTCCCTTGGGGCAAGGCACATTTTGCATAACTCACTTGTTCAAGCAAGAAATGGCTGTAACTTAGACACGCCTTGAGAAAGGCTAAAACTGGTCTACATTCTGGGCAGCCATGTCCTCAACTAGAAGTTCCATTATTACAGGGAAGAGGGTGCCTGTGTATCACAGTCCAAAGTTGGCAGTCTCTGTCCACAGAGTAAGTCAAGCCTTTGGGTGAATCACCAGCAAAAGTGTCTTTCTTCACAGGTAAATCCTTTGTTTTTTAGTTTCTTTTTTCCTAGCAGTTTGTTGAGGTATAATTTTCGAACCATCAAATTCAGAGTTCGATGCAAGTGTTTAGCTTGGTGATTTTAATTAAATTTACACAACTGTGTAACTGTATATATGTTCTGTAGAGCATACAACTCGGCCATAAAAATATTTTTTTCCATGTAAAACGTTCTCTTGTGCCAACTAAGAAGCTGTGGGCCCTACTTCCTGTCTCCGGGAGCCTCCATGGCTAGAAATTACATACAAACAAAAGCACACCATAGCAGTCCTTTATGTCTAGGTTGTTACTTAGAACAGTGTCTGGAGATTTAGCCATCTTCTGTCATATTTCAGCAGTTGCTGGGCTGTATCCCATAGCCTGGCAATGCCACACGGTGCTTACCTGTTGACCAGCACGTGCACCCACTAGATTCTAGTTTAGAATGATTATAACTGGTTTTCCTAAACACATGAAAACCTGGCTTTGAGCCTGGTGTGGGGACACAGCTGTAATCCTAGCACCTGGGAAATGGAGGCAGGAGGATCAGGCACTCAAGGCCAGCCTTAGCTACATCGAAAGCTTAAGATCAGCCTGGGCTACGTGAGAGCTCATCTAAAAAAAACTATAGATACTATCTGTGTGAATACTGCTTTCATTTCTCTCCATAGGTACCCAGGAGTTACATAACTGAGTCATGGAGTAACCTTAACTTCTTAAAAATCTTCAAATTTTCCAAAGCAGCTACTGCATTTTACATTCCCACTAGCAATGTATGTTTGTTCTAACTTCACCACATCTCTCCAGCACTGGGCACTGTCAACTGCCACGCCTGCCGCGCAGCCTGTGTCCGAGAGCGTGCGGAGGGTGTCGGGGATTGACAACACAGAGACTCGTAAAGAAAACTTTAAGCAGGCCCCAAAAAGGCTCAAGAAAACTTCCTGAGAAAGGCTCCCTCCAGAAAAGCTTCTGCTCTCTCTTCTCCCCTGGCTGGTTCTGCTCTGACACCAGAGGTGGATGTGGGTGGGTCTGAAGGTGTGGTTAGTTTTTGGACAAGGTCGAGGTCAGGGCGGTTTCCGTGGGATGGCCTTTTCCAGGAACCTATTGCCCCAGGCATTGTATTGTTTTTAGTAAACATGTTTTTAGTAAACATCGTCTTACAGCTGCCTACTCCCAGGCCGAAGGGGAAGTGGGTCTCTGCTCAAGGTCTGGTGTTCCCCCAGTCAACCTTTCAGATCACAGACATAGCAGTAGGAGTGGCATCATCTGACGGCTTTAATTTGCATTTCCCTGCGGAGAAGCAATGCTGAATACGAAACAGGCTACAAAATCCCACTGAAGCGCTGCTTTGGTTTCTGCTAACAAATTGTTATGTATTGCATTATCAGTTCCATTCTAGTTGTGTGTGTGGTGTGTGTGGTGTGTGTGGTGTGTGTTGTGGTGTGTGTGTGGTGTGGTGTGTGTGTGGTGTGTGTGTGTGTGTGTGTGGTGTATGTGTGTGGTGTGGTGTGTGTGTGGTGTGTGTGTGTGGTGTGTGTGTGGTGTGTGTGTGTGGTGTGTGTGGTGTGTGTGTGGTGTGTGTGTGGTGTGTGTGTGGTGTGTGTGATGTGTGGTGTGTGTGTGTGGTGTGTGTGGTGTGTGTGTGGTGTGTGTGTGTGGTGTGTGTGTGTGTGGTGTGTGTGTGTGTGGTGTGTGTGGTGTGTGTGTGTGTGGTGTGTGTGGTGTGTGGTGTGTGTGTGTGTGTGTGTGTGTGTGTGTGTGTGGTGTGTGTGGTGTGTGTGTGGTGTGTGTGTGTGGTGTGTGTGTGGTGTGTGTGTGTGGTGTGTGTGGTGTGTGTGTGTGGTGTGTGTGGTGTGTGTGTGTGTGTGGTGTGTGTGTGGTGTGTGTGTGTGTGGTGTGTGTGTGTGTGGTGTGTGTGTGTGTGTGTGTGTGTGTGTGTGTGTGTGTGTGTGTGATGTGTGTGTGTGTGTGTGTGTGTGCCATAGCTTGGAGAAGAAGTATTGTGGTTTCTGTGATGAC